CTGTATTCGGCACAATCTCAGTCAAAATCCTGATATTATTTTTGAAAAAGTAAAAAACTGATTCTCAAACCAATACAGTTAAAAATGAATAAAATTGCCAAAAAATGTTTGCGTCAGGGTCTCACTCTGTTGCCCAGACTGGAGTGCAGTGGTATGATCACAGCTTACCACAGCCTTGACCTCCTGGGCTCAGGCAATCCTTTTGCCTCAGCCTCCTGAGTACCTAGGACTACAGACACACAGCACTATCCCCAGCTAATATTTTTATTTTTTATTTTTTTTGTTGATACGAGGTCTTGCTGAGTCACCGTGCCTGGCCAGTGATCACTTTTTTACACACAACCAAAATGATGTGTCTTTATCATATTCTAAGGATCTATAAACATATAGGTCACTTTCTGTTCCATTAAGTTGTCTATTTCAGCTAATACCACACAGTTTTAATTGTTGAAGATTTAGGTATGGTTTTATACACCTAGAACAGGCCTTATTTTAAAAATATTTTGGGGGCAGGTGTGGTGGCTCCCAGCACTTGGGGAGGCCGAGGTGAGAGGTTACTTGAGCCCAGAAGTTTGAGACCAGCCTGGGCAACTTAGTGAGACCTCATCTCTACAATAAATCACACACACACAAAAAAAAACCAACCCAGGTGTGGTGGCGTGTGTCTGTAGTTCCAGCTACTTGGAAGGCTGAAGCAGAAGGATCACTTAAGCCCAGCAGGTTGAGGCTGCGGTGGCTGTGAGTGTGCCACTGCACTCCAGCCTGGGCAACAAAGAGTGAAACTCCAACTCAAAAAAAAAAAAAAAAAAAGAAAAGGAAAAAAGTGATCACTGATTATCCATTTAGAGAAAAAAGTTTGATTCCTATATACCATATTCAAATGAAGAAAATTATAGATGGATTAGTGCAAAATAATAAATGTTTAAAAAATCGAAGTATTAAAAAAAGAATAAACAGAAAATACCTTCTTAAATAAGACATACATATTTACACCATATAAATATTTAAATTTCCGTATGGCAAAGCCATAAACAAGTTGAAGACAAATAGGAAACGGTTATTTGCCAATCTGTGTGTCAAAGGATTAATACAAAGACTATAAAAAGCATTCTTACAAATCAAGAACACAATGAAATAAAAAAATGAACAAAGAACATGAAGAAATACAAGTGGTCCCATAAAAAGATGCTCAGTTTTACTGGTAATGAAAACTAAGACAACGAGGACAGCTGATTTCCTCAGAGCAAAATTGAGCAGAAGGTACAGAGTTCTCATATATCCCTAGCTGTGGCACACATATAGCCTCCTCCACCATCAATTTCAGACACTAGAGTGGGACGTTTGTTACAAGCAATGAAGCTACATTGAAGCACCATCACCCAAAGCACATTGATTACATCAGGGTTCATTCTTGATGTTGTACGTCCTATGGGTTTTGACAAATGTGTAATAACATGCATCCACCATTATAGCATCATCCAGAGTAGTTAACACTGCCCTAAAAAATCCTCTGTACTCTGCATATTCATTCCTCCCTCCCCCAGCCCCTAGCAACCACTTATCTTTTTACTGTCTCCATTGTTTTGGTTTTTCCGGAATCTTATAGAGTTGAAATCATACAGTATGTAGCTTTTGCAGATTGCCTTCTTTCACTTGGTTATATGCGTTTGAGGTTTCTCCATGTCTTTCCATGGCTTGATAGGTTATTTTTTTCTAGTGCTAAATAATATTCCTTGTTTGGATATACCACAGTTTATCCATTCACCTGCTGAAGGCTACCTTGGGTGCTTTCAAGTTTTGACAATTATGAATAAAGCTCCTATAAACATCCATGTGCAGGTTTCTGTGTGGACATAAGTTTTCAGTTCATTTGGGAAAACACCAAGGAGATAAGAGAATGTTTAGTCTTGTAAGAAACCACTACTGTCTTCCAAAGTGGCTGTACCATTCTGTATTTCCACCGGTAATGAGATTTCCTGTTGCTCCACCACTCACCGGCATTTGGTATTGTCACATTTGCTCATTCATTTTATGTTTTTTTTTAGAGTTTTGCTCAATCACCCAGGCTAGAATGCAATGGTACAATCATACTCATGGTAACCTTGAACTCCTGGACTCAAGTGAGCCTCAGTCTCCTGAGTAGCTAGGACTATAGGTACATACCACCATGCTTGGCTAATTTTTTTTCTTTTTTTTTTTTTTGAGTCGGAGTCTCACTCTGTCGCCCAGGCTGCAGTGCAGTGGCATGGTCACAGCCACCATAGCCTAGACCTGCTGGGATCAGTCAATTCTTCTGCCTCAGTCTTCCAAGTAGCTGGAATTACAGGCATGTACCACCACATCTAGTCAAATTTTTATTTTTATTGTAGAGATGAAGTCTCATCAGCTTGCCCAGGTTGGTCTCAAACCCCTGGGATCAGACAATCCTCTCACCTTCGCCTCCCAAAATGCTGGGATTACATACATGGGCCACCACACCTAGTCTTAATTTTTTTTAATTATTTTTTGACATCAATAAGGGTACCTGATCTCAAACCAGGCAAACTTTACCACTTGTATACCTAATCCTGAATTGTACTCCATATCTTTAAAATAAAAAAAATTAAAAATAAATTACTTTTTGTAGAGACAGGTCTCACTATGTTGACCAGGCTGGTCTCAAATTCCTGGCCTCAAGTGGTCCTCCTGCCTCAGCCTCCCAAAGTGCTGGTTTTACACAAATCTTAAAATTTGGCTACTTGTCTATTATTGCATTGTAAGAGTTTTATATATTCTAATGCAAGACCATTATGGAATATATGATTTGCAAAACTTTTCTCCCAGTTTGTAGATTGTTTTAGAGGCCATTTTTTTCAGTGAAAATGAATACTGAACACTAAATTCATGAAAGTGGGTTACTTCTGAAGGAGGCGGGGCACAGACCAGGTTAAATTACATGGGTAGATATGGGTGTGGTGAGAGGCAGAGCACAGACTGTGAAGCCAGCTGCCTAGATTTCAATCCAACACTGTCAAGTAATTTAGTCTCTGTCTCAGTTTTCTCATCTGTAAAATGGGTATACCAACACTTATCTCACAGGTATGTTGTGAGGCTTAAGCAAGTTAATGTACCGACAGAGTATAAAACAGTGGCTACCAAGGAAATTTTACACTTTATATAAACCTTAAATGTATTACAATTTAAGTTGATACTGGTGTTCAAAATTTTCCATTCTGTTATTTATGCTTTTTAATTTATATATGCTATGTGCTTTCTTTCATATAACTCATTTTAATATACATAGTTTTAAAAATAATAAAGAAGAGGAAAAAAAGACATCTGGTGTTTTACCCTTTAAAACAGTAAAGTAGCCAGGCTTGGTGGCTCAGCCTGTAATCTCATGCTTTGGGAGGCCGAGGTGAGTGGATTGCCTGAGCCCGCGGGTTCAAGACTCACCTGGGAAACTTGGCGAGACCTCATCTCTACAATAAATCAGAAAAATTAGCCGGGCGTGGTAGCGCGCACCTGTAGTTCCAGCTACTTGGAAGGCTGAGGTGGAAGGATCACCAGAGCCCAGCAGGTCGAGGCTGCGGTGGCCAGGAGTGGCCACTGCACTCCAGTCTGGGCGACAGAGTGAGACTCCAACTCAAAAATAAATAAATAAATAAACAAATAAATAAATAAATAAATAAAACAGTAAAGTTTGCAGGAAAAAGAAAAACAAACAGGAAAGTTTGGGTTAGATGCCAGGAGTGGTCCCAGAGCTAAGCTCAGCCCTGGCCCCTACCCTCTTCCCCATACTTACAAGGTGCCTGTCAACTGCACTTTCAGAAACAGACCATGACTCCTAGGCAGGAGTCAGGCAGGGGCCACCTAATCTGGCAAGTGACCTAGACTCTGTGTCACCTCAGTTTCCTCACCTACAAAATGGGGATGCTTACAGTACTTTCCTGGCCCATGAGAGTAGCCTAAATACAATATCTCGTGCACGGCCTGTCGTGTTGTTAGCTGTCATTTTTTCCTTTACACTTTTAGGCTCCTCTTGGAAGTTCAGAGACAACCTCCGTGCTAGCAAAGGTGGATGCCCAGAATAGACGATCTAAAGTTCCTTCCAGCTTTAACATTTTTTTCTTTCCTGAGTCAGGGTCTCAGTGTATCGCCCAGGCTTGAGTGCAGTGGCGCGATCATGGCTCACGGTAGCCTTGACCTCCTGGGCCCAGGTGATCCTTCCACCTCAGCCTCCCAAGCAGCGGGAACTACATGGCGCCACCACGCCTGGCTAACTTTTTTTTTATTTTTATTTTTTGGTAGAGACGAGGTCCCACTATGTTGCCCAGGCTAGTCTCAAATTCCTGGCCTCAAACAATCCGCCCGCCTCGGCCTCCCAAAATGCTGGGATTGCAGGCGTGAGCCACCGCGCCCGGCCCAGCTTGAAATTCTGAGCTGGTTTTCAAAGATCCTGAGTTTGGGGTGCAAAGGCCCTTGCCTAAAACGGGGCTGATGCTATAACCCAACTGCGGGGGTTGTGGAGAAGCAACAAGAAGCTAAAGACCAGGAAAGCGCGTTGATCTCTATACCGCGCTAAAGAAGAGTTGGATTACAGAAAAAAGAAAGAAAAGCCGCCACGGGGCTGGGCCAGCACTGCAGCAGCCCAGGCGCCATTATCTGCCCCAGCCATCACTTCGGGGGTCCGCCGCGTCCAGGCAGCGGACTGAGGAAGATCCCCGAGGACTGCGCTCCCAAAGGCGCGCCCAAGGAGCGCAGCTGATAACCGGACCGCAGGACGCTGAGACCAGAGGGTCGGCGGCTCCGCGGCCGTCAACCTGGGACCGAGCGCCTCCTGGCGGCGGCGGCGGCCCCTCAGCGCGACAGTTACGAGGCCCAATGGCCCAGCGGCGCTTCTGCAGATGCGCACGCGCAGCTCCCACCTGTCGCTCTTCTCCCAAAGGTGGGGAGAGGGAAGGGGGAGAGAGAGAGAGAGAGAGGGAAGGAGGGTGAGGCTTCCCAGCCAATCGGAGAGCCCGAGAGCCGTCCTCCCGCCCACCCAACTCAGGGGCGTGGCGTTCCATTTTAACCAATGAGAAAAGAGACTGGTTCTCTGACCGCACGCGTGGCTTGAGAAGGGGGTGGGGTCGAGGAGGCGGATACTTTAGCAAGATGGCGGCGAGGGGCCTCCGCCGAACTGGTGCCGCTGCCGGCAACCTCGTGAAGCCCATTTTCAGTCGGGACATGAACGAGGCCAAGCGGAGGGTGCGCGAGCTGTACCGCGCCTGGTATCGGGAGGTGCCGAACACTGGTGAGAGGCAGGGGCGCACCTGGGGCCGCGGAGGCGGCCGCCCAAGGTCGCAGGCGGCCCGGCCTGGCCGGGATTTCTCGCGGGCCGAACTGAGGTCACCGGCTTAGGCCGAGGCGACTCCGCGCGCTTAAGGGGAAGAGGGTCTCCCGAGCCCATGGTAGACCCGACCTGGCGGCGGCGTCGGCGTCAGACCAGCAGTGTCCATCATCCGTACAGCGTTTCCAGACGCCCTCGGTGCTTTAGTTTCTTTTGTCCCTCATAGTTTTTACAGAACCCCTGGGAGGGAGGACAGGGAGTGTCAATGATCTATTCATTTAGTAGGTGAAGCACACCAGGAAGCGAAGTAACGTGCCCAAGGCCCAGAGCTAGCCCTCTGGTGTGTCTGGAACCCCAAAGTCAACTCTAGAATTCCAGAATATGTTTGCAGGTGCCCAGTAGGTTTTATAAGCAAAGTGACTGTAGGATTTCGGTGATAGTCCATTTCCCGCAACCCTCACAGAAAAAACTGAACCCGAGAAAGAAGTGACTTTCTCAAGGTCGTCCCGTAGATCAGTGGTGCCTTTTCCAGACGCTCCATCTCCTCCCCTCCCTCCCCTCCAGTCTCCCAAACCTTGTTCCCAAGCTCTGCCTGCCCCTAGTATTTCGTGAGTTTCTCTCCTTTCCCACTGCTAGCCCGGCCCCTACTACCTCTTAGATGGCACAGACCCAATCTGTTCATGCGAAGAATTCATATGTGAGCTCCCAGAATGCAGAGGCTGTTTCGTATCTTGGCCTACCCCTCAGTGCTGCCCACGGTACTGAATAAAAGAAAGGTTGGAGAAAGTTGCATCTAAACTGCAAGGGCAGTACAAGTGTCAGAGGCTGTTGCTATTTTGTTTTCTTGATTTTACTTGGTATGTCTTAACATGGACCATCATGCTAGTCTGAGAGGGAAGGTGTTTTTGAGTGAGCTGGAGCACTATAGCACCCCTCTGGGCTCCCACTTCCCGGCTTGTGTGTGAGAGGCAATAGAATGTGGTGATTAGGAGCATGTCTTTGTCTCCAGGGTCAGACCTTAACTAGCTATGTGACCGTGAGCCAGTTATTTCATCAGTTTCCTTGTCTATAAAATGGGGATAATAGCATCTTCAGAGAATTACTATATTAAGTAGATTCATATATCTAGAGTGCTTAGAACAGGGCCCGGCACTTAGTTAACACATTAAATATTGGCAGCTGCTTTTGTTTTTGTTGTTGTTATAGGATTTACCCTAATGGGCTTTCATGCAGGAACCAGTTCTTTGATGTATGAGAACTGTGTCTGCTTCACAGAGTCCATGTCCTCAAGCTGACTTTTAAAAATTGCTAGTCATCAGCCTTCCAATAGCTGGCACGTGAAGAAAAAAATTGCTGGTGACCAGAACTTAACCCCACCGGATGTTAGGGAAGGAGAAACTTGAATAATCTTCTAGTTCAGGGACTGCAAATTCAGATGCCTTCAGGGAACAGGCAGATAATAGGTGGGTGTTGGGAGAGTGACAGTAGCATGTGTGGAGGGTGCATTCAAATTTTGATCTTTAAGTATCTAAAATTTAAGCAAGTACATAATTAGAGCAATGGGTATGTATTTAACTGTAGTCACAGAATCATTGTATAGAGGGAGCCTAATAAGGAAAAGAAAGGGGGGGAACCCAAATTGTTCCTACAAGCTGCACTGTGAAGTCAGCAACAAGAAAATAAACAGGTTTTTTTTGTTTGTTTTTTTTTTAGTTGAAGTCTCACTCTGTTGCCCAGACTGGAGTGCATTGGCCGCTCCCGGCCACCGCAGCCTCGACCTGCTGGGCTTCGGCGATCCTTCTGCCTCAGCTTTCCCAGTAGCCGGAATTACGGGCATGCACTACCACGCCCGACTGATTTTTTGATGTATTGTAGAGATGAGGTCTCGCTGCCCAGGCAGGTCTCGAACCCGTGGGCTCAGGCAATCCACTCACCTCAGCCTCCCAAAGGTGCGGGATTACAGGCTGAGCCACCGAGCCCGGCCTATAAACAGTTTTTAGAAGCTGGGATTCTCAGTTACTGAACCAAACCAAGGATTGAGGATAAGTAATAGTATTGATAACTAACATTTATTGAAATGCTTACTATGGCTCAGCACTATGCTAAATGCTTGACATTACCTTATTTTAGAATGGGCTGTAATTGCTTCCCTGCCTTATAAATGAGAAAACAGGCACATACACTTGTCTCAGATGACATCATTTAGTAAGTAGAAGGGCATGACTAAAACCTTGATTCTTGGCTTTTAGCTCCTTTTGTAGTTTTCCCTGAACCTCCCAGAGCCTAATTTATTTGGCATGGGAGCACAGCAACAGAACAGCCTTTGAATCTCTCCTTTGAAAAAATATTATATGCTGTTTGTAGGCCATAAGATAACCGGAGGCTTTGTATAAGAACAGTTCATTCATTTAATTTCCATTTCATTGAGCACCTCTTGTACAAAAGGGTCAGTACTAGATGCCTAGAAAGATACAAAAGTGAATAAAACACAACCCTGCTTTCAAGGGTCTTATAGTCTGTCTAGTAGGAAGATAGATAGGCATTTAACCAAATAATTAAACCCAAAGTATAATAGAGGTATAGGGGGAAGTGCTGAAAATTTTAACAGCCAACTAATGTGTCATGCTTTACAAGGTGTTATTTGATTTTTCACCATATTCCTATAAAAGAATTATGCTAGAGGTTTTTTAGTTCCTATTTTTAAGATGAGAATATAGTCTGTACACCAAACAAAGTTATAGTTTATAATGGTCTAGAGGCATTACCCAGTTTATCTGACCCCTGATTCTGTGCTCTTTTCTATTACATCATGCTGCCTTTCCATCTGAGGATTGCCTAGTGCCTAGTATGAGTGCTATCAGAATGAGCTGGAGTGGACCGCTGAGAGCTGTATCAGTGGTGTCCTTCCCAATCTCCTGCAACAAGAAAGAGCCTTCCAGCCTCAGAAAAGCCTTCACAGTAACACTGGAAAAGCACACAGAGACAATGGAAGAGTCCCCTTTATCCAAAAGGAACACTTCCTTATCTTTCTTTTGAACCTCTCAGTTTTTTCAAATTGAAATTTAAGTATTCGAGATTCAAAGAAAAAGCCAGAAATCTGTGAGTTGAGAAAGAACAGTTGAAACTGATTTTCACTAGGGCTTCTCATCAGTGGCATTTGAACTAGATAATAAGCTGGATAATTTATTGTGTGGGGCTGTACTGTGCATTATAGGCTGTTTTAGCAGCATCTCTGGCCTCTACCCACTAGATGGCAGTAGTGCTCTCCCCATAATATGACGACCACAATGCCCCCAGACTTTACCAAATGTTCCGGAGGACAAAACCATTACTGGTTTACCACTGATTCAGACCAAAAAACAATTCAGCAGTCTATAGCTAGGTGCAGGGTGTGAGATGGAAGGAGGAAGACTGGGACAAATCTATGGAATTCATCTCGGTTAGGCATGGTGACTCATGCCTATAATCTTAACACTGGGAGGCTGAAGCAGAATTGCTTGAACCCGCAAGTTCGGGACCAACCTAGGCAACAGAGTGAGACCTCATCTCTACAAAAAATACAAAAACTAGCCAGGCATGGCGGCGCTCACCCATCGTCCTAGCTGTTGAGAAGGCTGAGGGAGAAGAATCACATGACCCCAGGGGGTTGAGGCTACAGTGAGCCAGACTTCTATCACTGAGCTCCAGTCTGGGCAACAGAGTGAAACCCCATCTCAAAAAAAAACCAAAAAAACAAAAAAACCCAGAATTCATGTCTCTAGAAACAAGTATTCTTAGCACTAGGGATCTGTAACAGCCTGAAACTTTAAGGAAAACTTTGCATTTATGCATGTGAACATTTTGCTGAAGACGATTCACCACCCAGTGCCCTGTTGTGTGGTTATGGCGATCATATGAGGGATGAAAGCTAATGGACTCCAGCTCTAGAGGCATCTTGTTTTTTCTTCCCAGGGTTGGGCGAGAAAGGTAAGCACTGATAGCAGGGACAGATTTTGCACACCCCTTTCCTTAAAAGAACACTGTGTTGTAAATTAAAAAACAAAACAACCTGGATCCTAGGCCCAGAATTGCCCAGGACCAGTTGTATGACTTCAGGCAAGTCCCCACAGTGCTCTCTAGGCCTCACTCCTTCCAGTGGTAAGATTCTAAATTCCAGATTCTGTATTAATTTGCATTTGTTTTTGCATTCCTGTTTTCTTATTGTCCGTTTGTTTGCTTGGTTATGAAATTCCTAATGTGATACCTTGGTGAGCAGATCTTTGGGGAGAAAACCCAAATTTATAGAGTTTGCTATTTTCTATAGTATAAATACCATGATTGCTTTTTAACCTACCAAAGTGAAGTCAGCGAGGGCAGTTTGGGGGAGAGGTTGTGTATTATTGGCTTTCTGTGAAAGCCTGGTCCAGCACACCACTGGACACTGAGTTATTTCTGGTGTGAGCGATCCTCTCTGTCCACTGTTGACAGTGTTTACCTACCTGTCAAGCTGGGATGTAGGTCTCTTGTAGATTTCTGCTATGGCTTATTTCCTGGTTGGATCAGAAACCTTGTTTTCTTTGCAGCGTGGCGTGGCACTTCCCTCAGCAGAGGCTTTTTTTTTTTCTATCACTGTCACTAGGTTACAAGTATAATTAAAAATTCAAACTTAGCCGGGCGCAGTGGCTCACACTGGTAATCCCAGCACTTTGGGAGGTGAAGGCAAGAGGATTGCCTGCGCCCAGGGGTTCGAGATCAACCTGGGCAACTTGGCAAGACCTTGTCTCTACAATAAATCAAAAAATTAGTTGGGCATGGTGGTGCATGCCTGTGGTTCCAGCTACTTGGAAGGCTGAGGCGGAAGGATCGCCTGAGCCCAGCAGGTTGAGGCTACAGTGGCTGTGAGCATGCCAGCTTTGTGACAGAGTGAGATTCCAACTCAAAAAAAATCAAGCTTTATTATTTAGTTCAGTCACTAAACAGCCCTCAGAGTCGGTTGTGATGGTTCTGTAGACCAGAATGGACAAGACACAGGGCATCCTCACCAAGGGAGTGCACCGGTCTCCTGAACCACGGTGTTCGTGCTACCCTGTGAGCCGTGACAGTGCTGCCCCACAGCCTAGTGTCCCTCTCTCACCCTGTCAGTATTCTACCCTACCTCATAAGGCTCTCTTCATGCCTTCACTGTCATCAGCTAATCCACTGACTGGCTGAGTATGCCAGGGGGCACGAATGCAAATGACTAAAACCTGATTTTCAAAGGACATCCATATGCCTCATCTGAAGTTCCTGGTCGCTGAGTCTGTGCTGTTATTTTAGGTACTTGCTAAATCAGAGATTGCTAAATATTGTGATTTTATGTTTATATTCGTAACTGGCTAGCTCTCTAATCCGATTTTAACACCTGGAGAACTGGAGTTACATTTTAAACTTATTTCCTCTTACCCCAAGTAAACTAACATGGTATTTATTAACTGTTTCTTGGATAAAAGCCTTCCCTAACCTGCACAAACCTTTAGCAATCTCTCTCAGCTCCAAGTTTGTGTGGTGCTTAATAGCCTATGCCATATCATTTTACATTAACTTCAATTCTGTCATCTTCTTTTGCTGTTCTCATAAAAATAATACTAACATGTATTGAGACCTTCCATGCAAAGCACTATTGTAAGCTTTTTGCAGTAGCTCATGGAATCCTCACAACAGCTCTGGAATTATATGTGCTTTTATTGTTGTCATTCCCGATAAATACACTTAGGCACCAGGAAGTTAACTTATACAAGACTATATCGCTGATAAGCAACAGAGCTGGGATTTGAACCCAAGTTGTTCAGACTCTTGAATTATGCTATACTGCCATTTTAAATGCTGTAGGCTTGTCTCACCAAACAAAATGTAAGCTTCTCAAGAACAAACACCATGTATCATATTTCTTCATATCCTCAAGCACCTGGTTTAGGGTCAGGCTAATATTTGGTGAAAAGAATGAATGGGTAACCCATACATCTTCAGTGAACATCTTTTGACTCTAGTGTTTGTTTGTTTTGAATTGGAGTCTCACCCAGGATGGAGTGCAGTGGCATGCTCACGGCCACCCCAGAGTCAACCTGCTGGGCTCAGGCAATCCTTCTGCCTCAGCCTTCCAAGTAGCCAGAACTACAGGCACACTACCATGCCTGGCTAACTTTTTGATTTATGGTAGAGATGAGTTGTCGCCAAGTTGCCCAGGCTGTTCTCGAACCCATGGGCTCAGGCAATCCTCTCACCTCAGCCTCCCAAAGTGCTGGGATTATAGACTTGAGCCACCGTACCTCGTCGACTCTAGTTTTTAAAAACGTTTTGTTTATAATATTCTACCCTGAATCATGTTTTTCTTTCTAGTGCACGTATTCCAGCTAGACATCACTGTGAAACAGGGACGGGATAAAGTCCGAGAAATGTTTATGAAGAATGTCCACGTTACAGACCCCAGGGTGGTTGATCTTCTGGTCATTAAGGTAACTGACTCTCCCTGACCAATATAAAAGATCAGCCAACTTGTCTGGTGCTTCTCAGTTATCCCAGATGTACATTTTGTTTCCAAGTTTAAAGAGCAACTAATGGTTCAGCAACTGTGCTCTGTATTTCAAAGGAGTAGTTGAACTCGGAGGTTATCACTTGGTTAAGCTGAGTATAAGGTTGTTCACGGGAAAATCTACTGGGGCTTGCATTTTATAACTAAAAAAATAGGGAAGAAAGTTTGAGCTCTTCTTGAACCTCATTCCTGGAAGTTACTGCTTCACCTGGATGCCATCTTAAAGCTGCAAGAGGCAGTCAGGTTGGCTGTGAGTCCTGTATAAATGGGGTCAAAATTGTAGGCCTGATTCTGTCTCCCTGGCCAGTCACATTAACATCAATGGGCGCTTCAGCATGAACCAGTACATAACATAGAAGAAATGTTAAGCAGAAAACATAAGTTAAGCCAGTCAGGTTAGGCATTAGTGGGATAGGGGCCTGTTATCTTAAAAGTCTCTCCTCTTGGGAACAGTTAACCACAGAGTTAAAGAATTTTTTGAGGCTGGATGTGGTAGCTCCTGCCTATAATCCAAGTACTTTAGGAGGCCAAGATGGGAGGATTACTTTAGCCCAGGAGTTTGAGACCAGTCTGGGCAACATAGTGAGACCCTGTCTCTATTTTTTAAAAGGTAAAAAAAAAGCCGGGCTTGGTGGCTCAGCCTGTAGTCCTGCGCCTTGGGAGGCCGAGGTGAGTGAATTGCCTGAGCCCGCGGGTTCGAGACCCACCTGGGCCACTTGGTGAGACCTCATCTCTCAAAAAGTGAGCCAGGCGTGGTAGTGCGCGCCTGTAGTTCCAGCAACTTGGAAGGCTGAGGCGGAAGGATCGCCGGAGCCCAGCAGGTTGAGGCTGCAGTGGCCGGGAGCGGACACTGCACTCCAGTCTGGGCGACAGAGTGAGACTCCAACTAAAAAAAAGTTAAAAAAATATATTTTTTTTTTTAAAGAAGATTTGAAAGGTTTCAGAGATCATTTAGCCCAACTACGACATTATCCAGATGCAAAAAGTTTGTATAGAAAATAGTTATTTGCCCAAGGTTATTCAACAAGTTAGTACCAAGCAGAGAATAGAATCATTGCCTTCAGTGTTGCATGACTTCAACTTCACTTTGAGGACCTCTCCGCTTTCTTGTGCAGGGAAAGATGGAACTGGAAGAAACAATTAAAGTATGGAAGCAGCGGACACATATTATGCGGTTCTTCCATGAAACAGAAGTACCAAGGCCAAAGGATTTCCTGTCCAAGTTCTATGTTGGCCACGACCCATGAAGTCACTTAGTGGAAAGGTGCATGTTGCTATTTCATTATTTTAGAGCACAAATAAATTCATACGATGGTCACTTCATGATAGAATTCCATCAGTGAACCAATTTTCTGCAGACTCTCACTTTTTGCCTGAACAAGTAGGGTCTTGGTATACACACCACCTGTTCTTTCCCTTTCCTTGAAATATGGTGTTTACTGTAAATTAGATTGGATTCTCTTAAAGCTTTGCATGTGAGTAAACAGGAAGGAATGAGGCCATCTGCTCAAACTGTGGCACTATGTACGAGGCTGAATGGTTAATTTCATTGTTTCTACAGCCTCCACAATTGGACACCGTGGTGTCATGGCACAGATTATCCAAAATCGGCCAACTTTTGCTGTCAAGAGGGATCAGAAGAGCAGTAACAGCACAGAAGTAGAGCTGACAAAATAAGCTAGTTTTCCCTGGGTTCTAAAGAAAATGGATGCTTAGAGGTCTAACCCCTCTACTTGTAACAAGCACTGTTCCCTAAAATGAAATTAACTTGCTACTCAGGCACCCTGCTAGGGGCACAGCTGTCAGTGTACAGAGAACAGAAATATCCCTACTGTTTTTGCAAACTCTGGTGTAGGTCTAGGTTGACAGCAGAAATGTCAACCCAGGTTAAAGAACTGATCTCTGTTTGCTTTGCATGGTCTTCTTCAGTCCTTTCTGGGGCAGTCCAAATGCTGGAGAAGGGGGTTCAGTATCTACAGGTAAGATCACCCTGAGGACTCCCAAACTTTTCAGCACCAAGGATCCCTTCATTATCTTTTTGTAACAGAAACCAGCTGGTTGTCTTCCAATTCATTTTCAATACTACTGGAGAATTTAGACCCACAGACTTGATCACACAAGATTGCCCCTATCCCCTTCACATACCATTTGCAAATCCAAGCATCCAGAACTTCTGACCAATTGGCCTCAAGTTGGGATTCACATGACCTTTTCTTTGGGTTTAATTTGTTGGAGTGGCTTACAGAACTCAGGGAAACATTTACCAATTTATTATAAAGGATATTACAAAGGATGCAGATGAAGAGATGCATAGGGCAGGGGAAGGGGCGCTAAGCTTCCATGCCTTCCCCGAGCATGCCACTCTCCAAAAACTTGCTTGTGTTCAACTCTCCAGAAGCCCTCTGAACCCTGTTTTCTTGGGCCTGTTATGAAGCCTCACTGGATAAGCATGATTAAAGTATAGACAACTATAATGTGTTTGGACAAAAAGGATATACTCTAATACTAAGAGTAGGGAAACACAGCAAGGCCAGCATTTCTTCCTTCAGGATTTGAGACAGGACACCTGAAATAGGGGTTGTATGACCTAAAATCAGACAAGGTAGGTCAGAAAATTTCTTGATGGCCAGCTCCAATACAGAAAGGCAGAGGAAGATTATAGTTTTACTTCCTGGGGCCTGCCTTGAGGGGATAAGGAAAAGGTGAAAGAAGGGCAGGAGGTCAGAGAGAAAGAGATGCTGTTTCTGAGGCCTGCTTCTAAGGCCTGAAACACCCCATATTACAACAAAAGATTAGCAAGGGTTTTGGAAATTATGAGCCAAGAACCATGGATAAAAACCAATAATGATATTTAGGCAGTTGTAAGCTAACAATCAAAGCTCATGACTGGCACATGGCAATTATCCAGTATTGCTGAAAATTAAAAAACAGCTTGAGGCTTTAGTTAGCCTGTACAGCTTCATTAAAGGGAAACGGTTTCTGTTGGGCTTTTACAAATAATGAAAATAGATCCCAGGTTCCCATAATCGCCTCTGTGGATCCATAAGGGCCTGGATATCCTGGGTTGTAAATCAAAGGCCTATATGTTTCTCTGATAAAGAAGGGACAACAGAGATAAGAAACCACAACAACTAGAGCCTCAAACCGAGAAACTTCAGCTGCCATTCAGTCACACATAGCTGATGTTTATTATGTTTATTCAAAATTTGATTGCTTGTTTTCCCAGTGCTAGTGAACAGCACATCTCAGGAAAGCTCCCAAGGCCTAGGGATCTGGGCTATGGTCACAGACCATTCAGGAGGCTCACTGGACTCAAGAGACTGAGGGCTTTCCCTGGGCCCTGCTGATAGGGAAGGAGGAAATGCTGAGAGCTTCACCATTTCTTGTTTGTGCTTTCCCAATTCTGTTCTTCCTCCATGGCCTGAAAGAAAGGAAAGTAGCAGTGAATTGAGCAACAGAGCAGTCCTCCATCCACAGACTGAAAGAGAATCCCACAGAATGGCTGTACCAAACATGGCAGGAGAAAGGCAACATTGAATATGTTTATTTATTCATACACTACCTGGATATTTGACCACAGACCAGGCATTGGAGGCCCAAAGGTATCAAAAATATTTTCCCTGCCATCAAGAAACTCATAGTCTAGTAGAATTTTGGTTTGTGTGTATTGAAGCACATAATACTTAGTGTTTCAAGAGGTACTGGTCACTCAGAAGAAGGAGCAGTCACTTTCAAATGGAGGCATGAAGGAAGACTTCAAAGACATTCACGAATGAAGCTGGGCATGATGGCTCTCACCCATAATCCCAGCACTCTGAGAGGCCAAGGCAGGAGGATCGCTTGAAGCCAGGAGTTCAAGACCAGCCCGGGCAATATAGCAAGACCCCATCTCTACAAAAAATTAAAAACTTAGTTGTGCATGGTGGTGTGCACCTGTAGTCCTAACTACTTGAAAAGTTGAGGTGGGAGGACTGCTTGAGCCCAGGAGTGTGAGGCTTCAGTGAGCTATGATTGTACCATTGTACTCCAGCCTGGGTAACAGAGTGAGACTCAGTCTCTTTAAAAAAAAAAAAAAAAAGACAGGCCGGACATGGTGGCTCACACCTATAATCCCAGCACTTTGGGAGGCCAAGGTGAGAGGATTGCCTGAGCCCATAGGTTTGAGACGAGCCTGGGCAACTTGGTGAGATCTATCTCTACAATAAATCAAAAAATTAGCCAGGCATGGTGACACATGTTTGTTATTTCAGTTACTTGAAAGGCTGAGGCGGAAGGATCACCTGAGCCCAGCAGGTCAAGGCTGCGGTGGCCATGAGTGTGCCACTGCACTTCAACCTGGGCAACAGAGTTTTTGTCCAACTCAAAAAATAAAGACATTGAAGAATGGGTGGCATTAAGATAGAGCACTGGGAAAGAGCCTCTGGTGGAAGGAACAATGAGCCAATGCTTGGGAGTGGGTAAGAGTGTGGGAAATAAATGGTGAACTGAGGACAGATGTGTGGTTGGGAAACTTTGAATGCCAGGCTAAAGGAGTCAGGAGTGTTCTTATCTATGACAGTAATGCTGCTGTACAGCACCTATTAAACCACAGGAAGTCAACACAAGAAGGCTGAGTGGGAAGAGGACTGCAACTGCTGGGGGAAGGGTCTGTAGATAGTACGTGAACCAGGCTATAGTGCCCATGCACAGGCTGTACTGGTGCAGAGCTTGAAAACTAGAGCTGACTGAAGAGAACCTGGAGTTTCTAAATTTCAATATGGAGCCACTGAAATGATGCTGTTGGTCATGGGTATGTGAGGCATATTAAATTGCCCAGAAAATGTGCAGGTTGATTGAATCAGGGTACATCAAGGGAAACTTAAAAAAGCAGGCTAGGATCCCAACCTATCTGGAGGAGGCCCCAGTGAATTTCGTTGTTTTTTTTTTCTTCTTTTTTCTTTTTTTTTTTTTTGAGTTGGAGTCTCACTCTGTCACCCAGGCTGGAGTGTAGGGGCACACTCACGGCTGTCGACCTATTGGACTCTGGCATTCTTCCACCTCAGCCTTCCAAGTAGCCGGAACTACAGGCGTGCACTACCATGCTCAGCTAATTTTTTATTTATTGTAGAGATGGGTCTCACCAAGTTGCCTGGGCTGGTCTCGAACCTGTAGGCTCAGACAATCCACTCGCCTTGGACTCCCAAAGTGCTGGGGTTACAGGCTGAGCCACCAAGCCCGACAACCCCAGTGAATTTCTAAGTTAATGAGATAGTTAGTTTCATCCAACATAGGGAAAAGGCAAAATAAAAACAGCCATCAAGTGGGTCGATTCATTAAAGCTGCTGTCCCAGATGTCCAAATGCTGCTACCAGGCCAGACTGCAATGCAGATCAGATGCTCCACCCTGCTTCCTGCTCCTGATCCATCTAGGGGTAAAACAAGTCTTACCTGTTAGTCGTCATCGTCATCATCCTCTGGGACAAAAATGTCATGTTCCTCAAGTAAAGCAGCAAAGTTCTTGCTGATAAGTGTCCCGACATAGAGAAACGGGATCACAATGGAGAACACACGGAGAAGGCCAAAGGACATCTGCAGAGGGTCAGAGTGATGGCTGTGAGCTCCAGAGCCCACTCCTGCAGAACCATAGAAGGCCTGGCCCTCTCACAGGCAGTCCTTCCTGTGGACCCCAGACCCAACTGGATTTTAAAGTCCCTTGAAACATTCAGAGCAAGAAAAACATTTTTTAAAAAATAAGTGATGAGCCGTGCTCGGTGGCTCAGCCTGTAATCCCGCGCCTTTGGGGGGCTGAGGTGAGTGGATTGCCTGAGCCCGCGGGTTCGAGACCCGCCTGGACAACTTGGCGAGACCTCATCTCTGCAATAAAATTAAAAATTAGCCGGGCGTGGTAGCCTGTAGTTCTGGCTACTTGGAAGGCTGAGGCGGAAGGATCACCGGAGCCCAGCAAGTCGAGGCTGCGGTGGCCGGGAGCAGCCACTGCACTCCAGTCTGGGTGACAGAGTGAGACTCCAACTCAAAAAAAAAAAAAGTGATGGTTATGCCACTTAAATGGCCATGCGTGGCAGTTCACACCTGTAATCCCAGCATTTTGGGAGGCTGGGGTAGGAAGATTGCTTGAGCCTAGAATTCAAGACCAGCCTGGGCAACATAGTGAGATCTCGCCTCTAAAAAAAATCAAAAAATTAGCCAGGTGTGGTGGCATGTCCCAGCTGCTGGGGAGGCTGAAGTGGGAGGACTGCCTGAGCCCTGGAGGCTACTCAGGAGGCTGAGGCAAGAGGATTACCTGAGCCCAGAAGGTCAAGGCTGCAGTGAGCCATAGTCATGCCACTGCACTCCAGCTTGGGTGAGAGTGAGACCCTGACTCAAAAATAAAAAAAAGATTGGTTTTTTGGTTGTTTTTGAGTTGGAGTCTCTCTCTTGTCACCCAGACTGGAGTGCAGTGGCATGCTCACAGCCACCGCAGCTACAACCTGCTGAGCTCAGGCGATCCTTCCACCTCAGCCTTCCAAGTAGCTGGAAATACAGGCCAGACGTGTGCCACCACGCCCAGCTAGTTTTTGTGATTTATTGTAGAGGCGAGGTCTCACCAAGTTGCCCAGGCTGGTCTCGAACCCCAGACTCAGGCAATCCTCTCACCTCAGCCTCCCAAGGTGAGAAATGATTGTTATGGCCATCAAACTGGATACTGGAAAGAAAAGTACAAAGCACTCTAGACATCTAAAGTTAGGGCACAGCCTGCTAATTACTTAGCAGAGAATTACTTAGTACCTATAGAGAAACGGGTGAGCCGGTACTAGGAAGGCTGGGCTATGGTTATATGTCTCCTTGAAGAAGACACTAAATACATGAAAATGGATTACAGAAAGAGGTACAGTAAAGGATATTCTATACATTTCATTAAGTAAGGTTCCCTGATGCCTAAGAAATCTGATTTCACCACATTAAATTTTAGAAACAGGCATGTTTGGAAGTGGGGATGTCTTTCCACTAAAAGACTATTTGGAAGAACTGGAAAAGTGTCAGTAAAATCTCAGCAATCTCTCATATATTTTCCGAGTTAAAAAAAAATTTAAGCTGTGCCTTTTTATAAGGCAGCACTTTGTATGAAACCTGAAGTCAATTCTGTATGTTAGCATAGGCCAAACTAGCTTTAAAATAACTTGTTTTTGTTTAACTCCCACACAGTCCTGCAGTCAAAAAGCAAACTTTTGTCTGTTGTAAGAAAGTTTCCATCGTTCAGTGGCAGCAAAAATAGATACTGGTGGCTACTGTACCAGCAAGAAACCTGGACACCGGGACCTAACTCAGCTACTAGCCTCGGATACTGACTTCACTGCTCTGGCCCGATTGTTCATTTGTAAAAACGGCGATTGCACTAATTCTCTGCACATCAGGACTGCAAATCATGTGACACGTAACTACTAGGTGACAACTCATTAAAAAGCCCGTCCCACGTACTCTTTATTAACAAAGTCCCTTCACAATTACTTCAGCCTCTATGAGGCAGAGATTACATGACTTGTCTAAGCTGGATGCTTAAAAAGCGAGTCTTCTTGACTCCAGAGGACTAGGGCACTGCACCCCTCAACGACAAACTAGTGCAAAATGCCATTCTTCTCAGCTTTTGACCCCTCTTCTGTCTCAAGCACCCAGCGCAAACACCGCATTCTCCCATCTGTCAAAATTAGCAACCATTAACGCATTTATCCTCGGCCCGCCTTCCAGTCTGAGGCGATCGTATGATTGGTGTTTATTCCTGTCAATCAGCGTCGGCCCGCACACACTTCCCGCAATGATTGACCTCGGCCCCTTCGCCCCTCCTCAAGGAAGACACTCACTTTCACCGGTTTGGGCAAAATGGCGCCGCTGCGGGTAACGATGACTGACCTCGACGGTACCAGGCTCTGACTTGAGCCGCCCCGTACGGCGACGACACCGCCACCTTTCCTCAAGCTCGGCCCGTACCAGAAAGTCTTGCATCGAATGGGCGCCAGTGCTAACCAGCGGGTCGCTCCGGACGCCATTTCCCAGCTCCGCCCCTCGCCCGGGCGCCCAGGTCCCACCGCCCAGCCGCGGTGCCGCCCTCAGGAAGAAGGCTGCCCAAGCCTCGCGAGGCTTTCGGCGCCACACGAGAAGCCCGGCCCTCAGTCTTGCGCAGTGCCCAGTTCCTGTTGCGGTAGGAAGGACGTTCGTCACCCGCCCGACGTGGTGACGTCACTAGAACGGCGCCGACTCCCGTTTTCCCTCCTCCCCGGCTGTGGTTGCCTGCGGTGGGCGAGGCTGGGCGCCTGGGCGTGCAGTGAGAAGTCTTCCGTCGTCTGTCGTCCCGCATCCAGGACTCCAGGCCCTGGCAGAGCAGGTCTCAGGGAGTTGTTGAAATAAACTTAAGGAACCGAAATGAGGACTAGTAAAAAATGCTTTACTTAATGTTTTAATCGTATACAAAAGAACGATAAAAGCCCATGGTATCTGTGTATAAAATAAAGTGCAGTGACTGGAAAACAAGGCGGGTCCCTGCCCCGGGCCCTGGAAAGCTTCTGAGCCTCCTGGAAATTAGAGGCTCCAAGCCTCCACCTTTGGCCTAGTTGCGTCTCGGTTGGTCTGCCCGAGGCCCTAGTAAGGGAGAAAGAGGCTAAGAAAGGGTAGATTTTGTGTGTTTAGGGAGTGTCTCTGACCAGGCACGGCATCTTTCCACCAGCCACTACCACCACATCCCAAAGGCGTCAGGCTGGTCAGGTTCTGGTTCTGCAGACACAGCCGCTTTGCCTCCCAGAGCAATAAAGAAAACACCTGGCCAGATGCTGGGGCGAGAAACCATGAAGGGTCTTGGCAAGTACACTTTGGATGACAAACAGGACTGTGAAATAGTTCTCAGGTGGTTTTGCTAGCAGTTTCGGTAGCCAGAATACCTTTACGGGAGCCTAATAGGAAGAGAAGACTTTTTCACAGGGTATGGGGAAAGTCCAAGCTCCTAGAATACCCATAACTGAGAACCAAAACAACAAACTGGCTTTCCCCAGGGAGCCCCCCCCCCACCACAAAAAAAAGGCTTTAGGAGGACAAAGCAGCCCTCTCAATAAAGGTTCCTAAATTTAGACCTCTACGTTTGAGCTCTTCAATCTTGCTTTCCCAAATACTTAGGTTTTAATCAAGAGAGGGTGATTTCACAGCAACTTCCCACTGTGCCTCTCCCGTCAAGGAAATCGCCTTAACTTATTCCTTTCTACTTCTCTTTCTGTATTGGTAAATTCTTATACTAAGTGATTGCTGAGCATAGG